GAAGGGCGCCGCGAGGATCTCCGGAAGGCGGAGGTGGAGGGGAAGACTGGCGGCTGCAGGCAGTGCAGGGGTGTGTGCGTGCGTGGGCCCTGCGAGCGCCCCCTAGGCATGCGTCTGTGTCCTCGGATGTGTGTTTGTGTGAATACCAAGGTGCGTGTGTACATTTGGGCCCTGGGAGCGCCCTCTAGGTGTGCCTGCGTGAACTCGTTCTAGATGCGTGTGTGTGCATCAGCACGCTGAGGGTGCCCTCTAGGTCTGTACATGCACCCACATACCGTGTGTGAGTGATTTTTGGGGTATATAATGTACCCATGGGCTCTGGGATCCCCCTTCAGGTTCCCCCCCACTTCCATTTATTTATTTATTTACTTACTTATGTTAATTTTTCTATTTTATTTGTTTTTTCATGTTTGTGTGAATACCAAGGTGCGTGTGTACATTTGGGCCCTGGGAGCGCCCTCTAGGTGTGCCTGCGTGAACTCGTTCTAGATGCGTGTGTGTGCATCAGCACGCTGAGGGTGCCCTCTAGGTCTGTACATGCACCCACATACCGTGTGTGAGTGATTTTTGGGGTATATAATGTACCCATGGGCTCTGGGATCCCCCTTCAGGTTCCCCCCCCACTTCCATTTATTTATTTATTTATTTACTTACTTATGTTAATTTTTCTATTTTATTTGTTTTTTCATTGACTTTTTTAGAGAGTGGAAGGGAGGGGAGAGACACAGACAGAAACATAGATGTGACGGAAACACATCAATTGGTTGCCTCCCCCAAACACCCCACCAGGGACAGGGATGGAGCCTGCAACCAAGGAATGTGTCCTTGACTGGAATCCAACCCGGGACTCTTCAGTCCGTGGGCCTACCCTCTATTCACTGAGCCTAGCCTGCTAGGGCCGCCCTCCTTTTAGAAGGAGAGGGAGGGCGTTGTCCCACTCATTCATGTACTTATTGGTTGACTCCCCTCTGACCAGTGATGGAACCATATCCTTGGCATATGGGTACCACGTTCTAACCAACTGAGCTACCCAGCCAGGGCCGGATCCTTTGTGTGTGCATCTTTCATGTGTTTGTGTCCATGTTGCTGAGAGCCCCTCCAGGCATGTGCATGCATCTGTAGTCTCTCTGTGTGTGTGTGCTTGAATGAATATCAAATGTACCTGTCCTTTGTGTGGTGCCCTATAACTGAAGGCTTGTAGGAGGGCTAACAGGGTGTGTGTGTGAGCCCTCTGGGTGACTGTAACAGTCATTCCCTCTGAAGAGGCTTTCGTACATGAATACTCTTGTATCTGAAAGCAAGTTCCATCCTGGATACCTTTTCCTCCATAAACAAGTCTTCCATTCATATCCTCATAACCCATCCTCAGCTCCTAGGATTCTTCCCATAGAAGGCAATGAGGTGATACAGTGCTCAGCATGGCACCATCAGTTAAGGGCTGTCAGGATTCACTTTTCTTAGCCGTCTATATCTTCCTGTCTCTGCTCCCTACCCCCTCCAATTCTGAAGGGAAGCAGGAAGAGAAAGAGTGTAATGTTTATCTGAATTCCAGGAGGAAATTCTCACAGGTGGTAGAAATGGGTAAAGAAACTCCACCACTCAATGGAAGAAGTGACTTTGACGGCAAGGTGGGTGGGAAGAACTAGGGCGGCAAGGGTAAGGATATTCCTGGCCAGGTGACTTGCCAGAAGAAAGGACCTTGCCTGAGAAATCCAGTACAATTTAGTATCCATTGTTTGGTACTTACGGTGAGCCAGCAGTATGGTTAGCCTTGGAAAGATGGAATTGAACAAGATATGTTTCTGCCCTTAGGGAGTTCAGAGGCCCATTAGGGCAGGGGCAAAGCTTGACAGGTAGGTGGAAGCCTGGAACAGACCTCAGATTCCCAGGCAAGTTTCCTATTTAGCTGCACTGTGGATTCACGGTTCAATTGTAGAAGTTGTGGGATGAGGCTGGGGATGGAATATTAAGGACACAGTGCTTTCTCCACCCCTGAAGCAAGATCTTGACAGGCCAACAGGCCACCTACTTGAACAGTGCTGGGACAGACACACAGGTGCTCTTCAGCTGAGTCAGAGACTGTCATTATTTTAATTTATTGACTTTTCTTTTTCATATATTTTGATTGATTTCAGAGAGGAAGGGAGAGACAGAAACATCAATGATGAGAATCATTAGTTGGCTGCCTCTTACATGCCCCATACTGGGGATCGAGCCCACAACACTGACTGGCATGTGCCCTGACCAGGAATTGAACTGTGATCTCCTGGTTCATAGATTGACACTCAACTGATGAGCCACGCTGGCCAGGCTATTTATTGACTTTTTAGAGAGAGGGAGAGAGAGGAAGGTAGAGAAAAACTGATTTGTTGTCCCATTTATTTATGCATTCGTTGGTTGATTCTTATATGTGCCTTGACCTGGGATCAAACCTGCAACCTTGATGTATCAGGACGATGCTCTAACCAACTGAGCCATCTGGCCAGGGCTGGGAGACTGTCTTTAGGAAAAACTTCCCAGATAGTTTCTCATGTAAGGTCTTCAAAGAGGAAAGGGTGGAATTTGGTTTAATAAGAAGGCTCAGGGCCTTAGAATTAAGGTAATGCATAGACTTCGTCTTGAGGAATTGCTGCTGTGGAGTAGTGAATGCAGTCCTATAAACTGTGGCACAGCCGGGGTTAGAGACTGGATTTCTCATTTTTCATGTTTCCCCAGAGACGTCTGAATCAACAAATTGCTCCACACTACATTCTAAGACAGAGGGGCCACATCTACCTTGTTGACTGCTCATAGCAAGTGAGCTAGACCAAGATTCAGGCACAGAGGGTCAAGTGGTACTTGAATTGCTCCATGTCCAGCTAAGGTGACAGGGAAAGGACAAAACCAGGTGTTATGACCTCCCAGAATAGATGAATAAAGTATGACTGCAAATAACTGGAACTAAAGGCAGTCTCTACTCTCTAAATTAAAGCTTCTAGACCAGAATGCAGAGGTCTCACTCATGCCAGCTTGTTTTAATGTCTTGGTTTTGGAGCCAATAAGAGCAGGGGCCTGAACGTTCTTAGAATCTTGCAGAATCTGATCATGTCAAATAATCAAACCCTCTAAACTCTAAGTCACCCACAAAGTCATACAACAGCTCCCCTTAGCAGATGCACCCTTACCCTTCCATTTCCACTCCCCATGCACTGTAGGCTCACTTTCCTACAACACCTCCCCTCTCCTGATTTCCCTTGGGGAATGTGACTTGTTCAAGGAGACTGTGGGACCAAGATCTCAGGGAGGGTCCCTTCCAAGTATGATGACAGGTAGGACAGACAGGCAGAAAACATAATTTGAAGTATTTTTGTTTTTTTATATACAGAATACAGGAAAGTTTCTGTAAAGTCTAAAACATTACAATTACTATGTACATTGGTACTAGTTGTGGGGTAGGAGAAGAGGAGGGAGTCAAGGGTGGGAGGAAGAGGAGAGAAGTGGCAAGAGAACAAAAAAAGGAGACAAAACAGGTTTACGACAAAAAACATTTTTGCTACAATAGACAATTTGAAGAAAACGCTCTACCACATGTAGTACTGTACACAGTTTTTAAAAACATTGAAAAAATGTCATCACTAGATGTATTTACACAAAATCCAAATACACTTTTCCTTATTCGAAATAAAATAGATGGACAGCCAGAAAAAGGATTCATTTCTCATTTGTCCATAATACACAGTAGCTACCTGTAGTGCAACCGCTGCAGAAAGGGAAAATAACTTGGAGGGTGGGAACCATGGAAGGAGGGTGGGTAGCGATCTTTATATTAAATAAAACAATGATATTGTATAGATTTTGCTGTATGAAAACTGTATTTTTTTCTTTTAATATAAAACTATTGTCACTGCCACAAAATAGAACAAGTTTCTGATTATTTTACAACGGCGGGCGAGGGGGAGGGAGCAGGTGGGTGGGGAACGGTTTTGTGTTGGAGGAAGTGTCCAGACCATTGGCCTTCCCCTCCCTGCCCACGCTGTTCCTCAGCTCGGGTCTGCCGCTTTTCCATGAAATGTTGAGTACAAATATATGTGCAAATGCCCCCTAGAACTTGAGAAAAGAAAAAGGATTTTAAAAAACAGTCAAAAGGTTTTCTTCATGTCATGCAAAGATTGTAGTTGAAGGGTTTCTGGTGGAGTATAGAAAAAACCCGGGCTTGGTTTGTGTACATTTTTGCATTGCAGGAGTCTTGGGGTGGGTGAGGCGGGTGATGGGGTAGCCACCAGTCCTAGGGAACGGAGTTGGAGCGCAACACAGGGCCCTGGTGGGGCTTGAGAGAGAGCTTCTCGGCCAAGACCCCATCTTGCAACAGACTGGCATCGCCTTTGGGCTGTTTGGTCGCAAACTCAGTGATGCTGAAGACAAACTGCAGACACCCCAGCTTGATGTAGCTGCCATGGTGCAGTAAGGCCGTGCCTTCCCAGCCGGCCCCACTGCCCCCAATCAAGCTCGAGCTGCTGGCTTTGCAGTTGCAGGGTCTCCGTTGTGGCCCCTGGGCTTGGGAACTCATCATGGGTGCCTCCTCACTTGGCTCTTCATCCTG